AATGCCGAGGCGTAATATTTGAAGTACTCTGGTATCTTGTAAAGTCCTATTAGAAAGCAAAATTAATATTGAGATTCTCATTAGACCTGGTTTTATTCTGTGTTGTCATAGTAACAAAAATGATTTACCTGGTAAGCTGTGAGTAGGGCAGTAAATGGACATTAAGGGATAGATGTTTCACCACTATTAAGCAACAGAGCAGCCACTTAAATATTGAGGGAGTAGATGCGCCTAGAAGTGACATCTAAGTTGCTGAAGTGACGGAGCCTGCAGCAGAGCCTTCAGGCACTAATAGCTGTTTCGGAGAATGTGTAGTCCATAACGGGATGCGTGTGACAGCAAGGACAAATAGGTCTGAATTTTGACATGGTGGCCTAAGATGGCAAAGGAATCTTTGCCTGCTAGGTACAGGTTGCCTAGAGCTGTTTTAAACCTAGTTCATTACAGCTCTACTGCAGGCTGAGTGTCCTCTCAATTTGGGCAGGAAAAGGATATTACGTAATTCAGCTGCCTGTGTAGACGGGCACACTGTGATCTTGTGGCAGTTAAAGGCAGTAGCAGAGGCTGTTCAAAAAAGGGTTGTCTCAGCTTCTTACAGTGACTCTGTACCATAAATGGTAAACAAAATACCCACTCCAGTCTGTGGTCTGATGTGGCTCCTCTGGCACATTTTGGAACTGGCTGTGGAGTTTAGGAATCAAAGCTGCTGTAGCTTGCTTCTTTTGGTCTGTATAGGCCAGATGCTTTTGATCAGTCTAGTATCTGACTTGTTTTCACTGAATAGCAATCAAGGCAGTCCAGTTGAAGCTTTTTTCAAAGTGAGCTCGATTGGGTTGTGGGAAAGGGAGAAAACACTTTCAGTTACGTTGGCGCAGGGTCCAAGTCTCGTATTGCCTGAGCATACAAGACATGATAAAACAGAGGCATAGAAGCAGCTGCAGATGGCTATGGGAAACATGCCTTCTCATTGTGGTCCAGTCAGTGTTCCTGCGTGATGGAGTGACCTATATTTAACTGTTTGAAATGTCAAGTTCTAGTTGAAATTTTCAACGTTTTTTTTTTTCACATTCAGGCAGTAAAACAGGTTCTCTCTTTAACAGATGAGTGCCAAACCAAATATGGAAATGCTAATGCTTGGAGATACTGTACCAAAGTGTTCGACATGCTCACAGTAGCAGCTGTAAGTTTTATGCTCATTTTGAGAAATATAAAGCATGGCTTGTTTCTTTAGACATCTCTGTCAAGCGATTGAGAGTAGTCTTTCACTGTTCCCTTGCAGCGTGCTGTGTCAGATTGAAGGGAGAAGTAAGACTGTGCCATACCTGACACCGTGTCCTTTTTCCTTCAGTTAATAGATGAGCAGATTCTCTGTGTACATGGTGGCCTATCTCCCGACATCAAGACACTGGATCAGATTCGAACCATTGAACGTAATCAAGAAATTCCTCACAAAGGAGCCTTCTGTGACCTCGTTTGGTCTGACCCAGAGGATGTTGATACCTGGGCAATTAGTCCCCGAGGAGCAGGCTGGCTGTTTGGTGCAAAGGTCACAAATGAGGTAAAAGCATCATGAAGTAGAATGTACAAGTGCTGACACCTGCTTACCTAAAATGTTTACCCTCAAGCTTGTGCAGGTAGAGTTGTATGATTTCTCCGTGTACAGTGCAGCTGTCTCAGACAGAACAGTAATTCACTTAAAGTTTTGTACACCATTGCAGTTTACTATTGGACAGTATTAAGTACTAGATGTACCTCACTAAGAGCCTTTCCAGCTTTTAAAACCAGTGGTGTTCCCACTGCCAACTACGCAAAGTGGTGTTTTCCTTCACAAAATGAGCTGTCTTAGCTTCTGCTTCTGTTGGTTATGATTATGTATCCTTTGTTAACTAGTTCCTTAACCAGTCTCTCAGGTATCCTTTTTCATGCCACTGTCTCATTATCTCAGAGGAGTCTGAGGCACAACTAAGGAGTCTTTAATGAATTTTATCTACAGT